TCAAATTTTTGATTGAAATTTAAGAGTTTGTTCACATGAAAAATATAAGAGTTTTCCACCAGAATGGAAGAAAACTAAAATTTCGTCTTGCCTTCGGCTTGACCCTATGAGATTACCCTCTTGTATTTCTTGCCCGTCAGTTGCTTTGATCATACGTTTGATCAGGGGATGGTTCGAAATGTTTTCGTCATTCTGAGGGTTTGACAACATAGCTATGGCGGATTTGTGGACCTTTATAGTGGCTGACGATAATTTAAAAATTCAGATTGAAAAAATAGAAGAAGTTATAAATCAACAACTAGAAGAAATTAGTGAAATAATTAAGAAAAATGAAGTTCTTATCCAGGAGAAAAGAGACATGGAGAAATATATGGAAAGGAGTAGAAGAACCACTATGGATTTTGAGGATGAAGTCTTTGCAACCGAAGAGTGTCTCAAAAAAAAGATTGACAAGCAGAAAGTCGAATTGAATAATATAAATGAAGAAAACCTGAATTTCGGTAAAGAAATTGACGATCTACTAACCAGTAACCAAGAGATGAAGGAGAAAAACAGAAAACTAGAGATGGACCTTAAAAACTGGGTCGCTCAAAGACGAAATGTTGATCTCAATCAGAACTTTAACTGAAGACAACGAAACTTGTATGAATGACTACAAAAAAGCGCAAAAAGAGACCTTTCTGATGAGGATTAGCAACTATGAAAGAAAGACGGTCAATAATGCTAAAACTGTTAGTAATGCCAAATGCCAGTACTCAGTATGATCCTACAATGTACGTGTAGTTTATAGTTCATTGTATATGGCTGCCAGCAAACCAGTGTTGCCATATTTAAATTGTAACCTCATCATCAAACTAGCTCAAACTGAATCGCCCTTTACTATGTAATGTGAAATGTGACGGGCACGGAAACTTGACTGTCGAGCGCAGATACCTACGCAGATTTTCCCAAATCAACACACAAGTGTGGGCAGTTGGTTTAAGGAGCTCAAACAGCTTCACCGGGTGGTGCACTAGAGGTGTGTAGAGACCAAATTTTGACTCACCTCTTCGAGTAAAAACCAAGATTCATCGCCATCCGTGGATTTGTTGCATCCTTTTGACTACGCCGGCTTTTAGATTCCTAGATAAACAGAAATTTCACGCGTGGTAACGTTGGCAAAATGGCGGCCAGAGTCTGAAACTCGTAAAAACGCTGTTTGTTTTGACAGAAACAGGTTATATCCGGTTTCAGCAATTGATCTGATCTAGGCAAATCCTGGATGTGCCTGTCACATAAAGAAAAATTGAAGATAAAAGAGATTGAAACGAAACTGTGTTCGGAACATGGCCCTGAGTCTGAGCCAGACGGCTTTCTGAATACAATCAAATGTGCTGGCAAATTGTTCTATTAGGAGCAGAAGCCAAGAACCCCAGGAAAGAAGAAGAAGAAAAACACACAAGCTACATGTATAGGTTACCCAACATAAATTTAATTTAATACACTACATTGATAACATCTAAAATACCTTCATTTGACGAATTCTGCAATACAATTGACAATTTCTGATTTACAAATAAATAATCTGAAACACAAATAATGACGTTTTCTGAGGTACAAGTGACCAAACTGAAAAATGTATTTTTTTTTTCAAAAAAAAAATCCACTCCAACAAGGCTACAATTTTTATATGTTTCAATTTACATATTATGTTTAAGCGTAAAAAAAAATTGACAACCTATTTTAAGGGTTGCAAGTACCTGCCAGAAGATGGCAAAGTTGTTATAGGGATAATAATTCATAACCTTCTCCCACAAGGCTGAAATTTTGAGGGAATATTCTTTTATTGAATAAGCAAGTATATTTACCAGCCAACCTATTCTGGCGGTTGCAAGTGTCTGCCAGAAGAGTATACAGTGTGTCCAAGGTAGTGATGGACAGATTCATGGAAAAGTGTTTTTTGGGAAAGTTCCCGGGAACATTTCCAGGAACGTTTCCTAAAATTGGGAATGTGAAGGAATGTTTGCAAAAACCAAAACAATAAACAAAATTGCCTGCATCTATTCAAGAGAAACAAAATTTTGAAAAATAAACTTGTTTTATTCGATAATGCCAAGGATAATGCATTTGAATAATAAATACTAAGGAAATAAAAAATATTTATACCTATGTCTTTGTACTCTTGACTCTTGAGATCAGTGAAAAAACTTAAACATTACTACATTACTACTGTGTACTGCAATATTGCACATTGTAACTATAGAATAGACGCATTTTTTACCTAGTAGTAAGAAATTAGCTACTTTCCTAACGAGTGCCGGAAATTTCTTTCTGCAAGAGTTAGGAACTATATTTTTTCTACGAGCATACTAAAGGTGATGTTACGAGAAGTTTAATTTAAATAAAATGCGATTATGCATAAGGTAAAATTAAAAATGTATTAACCAGTAAGTATTTACACAAAAAAAAAGTAAAGGGAAAGGTAAAGGTAAAAGTGTATTAACAATACAAACAAAACAATTCAATGTCACAATGATTATTTCAAACTCTTCCCGCACTGGTGTGGGAAAACAGTCTTCCTGCACAGCAAATAGTGCGGGAAGAATCATTTCCGGAACGCTCGTACAAAAACTAATTATTTTACCCTGAAAAAAAGTAAATATTGTATTGTAATATTGTACTAAACCCTGAAAATCTCGAAAGTGCTAACAAAAAAAAGACAATTTGTTAATTGGAGCCAATATCAGTCAATTTTGTTTTTTCAAAAACATTCCCAGATTCTGTTCACCTTAAAGGAAAGTTCCCGGAACATTCCCTGGGAATGGGAAAGTTCCCTAGGGAACGTTCCATTCGGCACATCGTACAAGGTCTCAAGTCATAAAGTACCACCACTTGTAACTTTTTCATTTTTGATCATACATGAAAAAGTTACAGGTAGTGGTACTTTATACCTTGACACCCGGTACATGGAATTACTCTGTAATAGTGATGGCAAGGAAGAATATTACCGAGATAAGTTTCGGTAATATTACGTAAATTACGGTAATATTACCTCACCCATGGGTAATATTACCAAAACGAGAATTTTAAATCGGTAACTCACGGTAATTTTCTCAGTAAGTTTCCATGTAATATTCTCAGGAATATTACGTCATAATATGTTGTTCAGAATCCGAAACGTTTACCGACTTGGAAGAAGCAGGCTGGGATTGAGGCATAGTTTGATAGATATAGTTATAAGCTTTGTTCCAGTACAGCAGGAAACTGTACAATGAACACTCACGATTCTGCGCAAAGCCTAAAATTTAAGCATAGAATCCGGAATTCGTATACAGGAAGTTAGAATAGTTTCCAATCGTTCATGGGACGGTTTTTGACGTGTTGGAACAGACCTATAGTAATTTTTTCAACGCTATATGAGTTTTATATGGCTTCTGTTTTGACCAAATATTAAAGCATACTTAAATGAACTAAAACTAATTATTTAAACTTAATTTTTAGATTAAGAGAAAAAAGTACATTGTTATTGTGTCTTAAAAAAATTAAATTGGTAATTTTGCCCTAACAAGTATTTAAGAATAATATAATTATTATAAACTCCCAAAAATTGAATCTCCGTTTACATATATGTCACTTCCACTTTTGATTTGCTGGATTTTGAAAATTACCGTATAAGTTACCGTAATTTACCTAATTTTCTTACCAAATTATAAATTACCGGTAATTTGCCATCACTACTCTGTAACAATCAAAAAATACTTGGAAATACCTGGGAAATATTGGGAATAATTTGGAAATATTCAGGAATAATAAATGTTCCCGCATAACTCAGTAGAGTAGTGGTTTATTCCATAGGAACTGTAATTGAAATTATTCACTAAGGATTTGTAGACGATATAATTGGCTTTATTTCAAGCCTAATAACGTTATGGTCGGATTGAAATTTACAAAGTAATGAGACAAAATGTGTAACAATGTCATTTTGGAAAAGATCAAGCTTCAAAAAATGACATTGAAGTACGTTTTTTTTTTTTTGAGAAAAGTGTTTGAAGGATTGCCTTGAAATTTTGCAAATGGACAAAAATAGTATATTAAAGTATAAGTGGATATTAAGTGCTCGAAATAGAGCAAGGGTTTTAAAGACCAGTTATCCACGAATACTTTACACTATTTTTTTTTATTGGTATACATTCAAATCATAAATTACTTATAATTGTAGAATGCTAAATTCGTGCTTAACACTTGTTATATTTTATTTGACGTTATCTACAATATTTCCTTTTATGCCCCGAAAAAAGATCAATGCGATCAGTGTGAATCATACAAAAACTCAGACCAAGAAGGAAAAGCTAAGCTGGTTGATTCTTACAATCTCCATTTGGAAGAAAAAAAAGCTCTCTAGGGAACAGAAGAGTATTGACAAAAATATAGCAGATAATAATACCCATGTAGCAGTGTATGACTTACAAGCAGTATTGCCTTTGCCAAAAGGACAGGTTTCTTCCTTCTATTACAAAAGCAAACTTAATTGCTACAATTTCACTATAAGTGACTTGTATGCAAAAAACGTGGATTGTTATTTTTGGAACGAGACGGAAGGTAGACGTGGTGCAGTGGAAATTGGCAGCTGCATTCTTCATTACTTGAAATCGCTTGCTGAAAATCGAGAGACGGAAGACCTGAACGTAGTATTTTATTCCGACAATTGCTGCGGCCAGCAAAAAAACAAGTATATATTTGCTGCCTATTTTTACGCCATAACCAACTATAAGATACGAAGCATAAAACATAAGTTTTTAATACACGGCCATTCCCAGAATGAAGGTGACAATGTACACAGTGTCATAGAGAAACACGTCAGACGACATCTCAAATCTGGTCCAATTTACGTTCCAGAACAATACGCCACCCTAATTCGAACAGCGAAGAAGAATGGTCCTCCATATAAAGTTCACGAATTGACGTTTGAAGACTTTTTTGATCTCAAAATTCTGTAAGAGGAACTCGGCAGTAATTTTAACATGAATACTGACAAAGCAAAGGTGAAGTGGCACGACATAAAAATTATTCGGTTTGAAAAAGATGAACCGATGTTATAAAACATCTTATAAAGATGATAACTTTAAGATGGTAGACGTTCTCAAAGCAAAAAAGACTCGATCCCAAGATAGGTTCGACACAAAACAGTTAGTTCGAGCCTATGGAAAAAATTTAACGCTAACCGAAAACAAGAAGCGTGACCTACAAGAACTTCTTACAAAAAATATCATTCCTAAAAGTTATTATAACTCATTTTATAAAAATGTTTTTGAATTTTAATAAGTTTCAATAAGTCTAATTAAAAAAATTTGTTTTTTTTGCGTTTATTTTTCGATTTTTATTTATTCCTATCTGCTAGATCGGTAATAGGTATTTCACTGTTAGTGAGTAGGGAAAGTGGGTAACATTGAGACACGGGTAACAGTGAGACATTCAAAATATTAGCTATTTCTTCATTTTTTAAATAGGTGTCGCCCCAATAAGACATTAATGATGTCTTAATGTATCGATTCAATTTTCAACCATCTCCCATTTTTAGTTTCGTCTGCAACGCGGAAGGGGGTACAACCTTTCGGTTATTTTTTTTTGCCAACGAACTTTTTCGGCGAAATTTGAAAAAACGGTGATTTTTTCTATTACGCATAGTCTTTGAGTGATATAAGGGAACCTTTCTGCTGTTAATTGGATTTATTGAAACTAAATTAAGATCGAAGGGGTACTAAAAAATGGCATTTTATTTTTTAAAGTGACTTGGGTATGAATGAGACATGTTTAGATGGGTAACACTGAGACTATGTAGTTCTAGTAGAATTTTGCAACTGAAACATTAAAGGGAAAAAATCTACCTATTACATAGGAAAATTGTTATCAGAAATCGATAGTGATAACAAAAATGATTATGAATTACCATTTTTAAGGAAAAGTGATAAAAAGGAGGGATTTTTGTTTCCCCAAATGTCCAGATTTTAGAGATATTGCCACTGTTTCTAAAAGAGATATTAAGATGATTTTGCCAAAACCAGTGAATTATGGAAAGACTGAAATCGATCCTACCATGGCTTTAAAACTTTGTCTGGGTCATTTGTAGAAGTTTGTTTCAGTTTATTCAAGTAATTATTTCTCATTTGATATAGTGTCTCATTGAACCCCCTGCATGGGTATCAATGAGACAAATGTCATGATAACTGTTTATGTCAAATATTGTCTTTGTAAGTGACTATAGAATCAAAAACATAATAAATTTCTAACTTAGATTTATTCTTGAGTGTTACTGAAAAAAAAAATCCATATTTTAAAGGTTTAGGGTTAAATATTTTCATTAGAAAAAAAAGTGTCTCAGTGTTACCCAGTTTCCCTAAACTAACTATTGATAAATAAATTTGGGCTGCTTCTAATTATTTTCCTTTCCGTATGTACAAAAAAAAATTATATCACAAACAGATTGAAAGTGAAAATGTTATATCCAGTAAATCTTCAAAAGTGTCCTTTTGTGAAAAATAATCAACAAAAGTGTCTAAATTCAAAATATTTTTTATCAAATATATATCAGGAAACATCAAAAGTGGCATAACTCAAAAAATTTAATTTTTCTCCAAACGTCAAAAAAACGCCACTTTGTTAACCTCTGTCAAGATGTCAGAAATATAATTTCTATGCTGGTAAGCAAATCCAGCAGGTTAACACCTGTCGAAGTGGTAGAAATTTAATTTCTACGCTGCTTGGCAACCCCAGCGGCAGCAAAAGTACTTTTAGTGCCGCTCGTACTTTTACTGCCGCTTAACCATTCAGTTACCCCCGAGCTTACCCCATTTGTTTGGAGAAAAAATAGCGTGTTGCATACGGAGTAGAAGCTTTACTTTTTTGTGCTGAAGCAGTAGGTTTGCGAGCCGAACGTAGTGAGGCTTGCAATACTGCTGAAGCTTCTACTCCTAATACAACAATATACTATTTTCGGAATTTCAAGGACACTTTCTAATTATAATCAATGACAGGATGCTTCTGAATGACTATGTAATTCATAAAAAACCTTATTTTACCTTAATCTATTTTAATAAGTTTTAGAACAGTTCTTCTCAATTTCTGGAAAACTATCTTTTTTGAGTTGTGTCACTTTTGAAGCAAGGGTGCGATATATGAAAAGGTAAAATGGCGGTTGTTGCGGGTGACTTGAGACTTGTCTCAAGTCACCCCAAAACTATTCAGAGTGTTATTATGTGCCTGTTTCAATTGTTTTTATGGTGTTTTCAGCATATTATGGGAAAATACAAACAAAAAAAACTAAGCTGCAGGACCTATTAGACCGGGAGTTAGACGGACTTGAGTATGCATAATATGAGGACCGCATTTTATCAATGGATTGTAGCTGAGAAAAGCTCAAAGATTAAGAATCCGGATCTTGCTGGCTCATTTTTTGGTCCATTTTTTTTCTATCCCCTCTCCTCTCACTTATAAAGGAATTCCATGGAGTGTATGCTATGTGTGTGATTTTAACGACTATTATAGTTCTAATTCAGTTTGCTCTTGTGGTGAAAAAGACGACAGGGTTTTAAATAGAAAGTTGTAAGTATGTTAAAATTTGCTGTTGCTAGTGGGATTTGAACTCACGACCCTCTGGGTTTCCATCCATTGCTCAAGAGGTATAGGTATGGTGACATAGCTACAGCGGTGCATTTAATATTATTATTATTATTATTTTAAAGCTTGTGACAAATCGTTAAAAATGCGACTTTTCCAGAAATTATATAAAAAACAGGGTGTTTCATTTGAAAAACAGTTAATCCATGGCGTAACTCTTTAGTTTTTAGTTCAAATGATTTTTTGGTATCATTTTTGAATTCTCCAGGAAAAAGTATGCCAATTGGCTATTTTGAATTTTTTCAAAACTACAGGAACAGGAAAAGTCAAAAATAAGCCCCTGTTGGGTCTTCGTTGGATGACCCTGTACATGTCGAAGTCTTCTCTAACTTCTGTATATTTTGGAGCAGAATTGCAAAGATATCCAACAAGTGGTAGAATTATTTTGAGTGCTTGAAAAGAAAGCCTTAGGTACAATCAATAGGAATTATTGTGAAATTACTTGAAATTGTGATATTTTCCATATAACTTTGCATTGGGAAATGGCAGGAGAGTTAGGGACCACTCCAGCTGCCGGCAAGATGTACTTTCCCATTCTTCAAGATCACAGGAACACGAATTTGAGCAGTTTTGTCGGTCCTCATATTTTGCATACTCAACTACTTGTAGCGCCTGCTCTATATGCTGATTATGATAGAGGAATGTTGAAACCGAGGGGTAGGTCACTCCCCAATTAGGTGTACAAATGTTGAAAGGTAATTGGAAAAATACATTCAATTACCTCAATTACCTTGCAATTACCTTCAATTACACTCAATTACATTTAATTAAATTCAATTACTTTCAATTACACCCAATTACATTCAATTACTTTCAAATACGTTTAATTAATTACATTCAATTATATTCAATTACATTCAATTACATTTTAATTACATTCAAATACCTTCAAATACATTTAATTACATTCAAATACTTTCAAATACGTTCAATTACATTCAAATACTCTCAAATACATTTAATTAGATTCAAATATTTTCAAATACGTTCAATTACATTCAAATACTCACAAATATATTTAATTACATTCAAATACTCACAAATATATTTAATTACATTCAAATACTTTCAAATACATTCAATTACGTTGAAATACTTTCAAATACTTTCAATTACGTTGAAATGCTTTCAAATACATCTAATTACAATCAATTACTGTCAATTAGATATAAATACATAACTTCTCCATCTAGGGCTGCCATTCGTCCGGATTTGCCCGGATTTGTCCTAGTTTTAAAGGCGTCCGGGGACGTCCGGGGGGATTTTTTGAAGTTATCTGTGTTTTACTACGCTTTACGGCATCTTGAGAAAAATCTCGAATAACTCCATGAAATTAACAAGAATCATGGAAATCGTCAGTCGACATCATCAGTTTTATTAAGGTGCGTACAGACATGCAACAGAACGCCGTAACGTAACTTCACCGCGTAACAAGTACGCGACATATCTGGACCGTACTCTGCAACATCGTAGCAGTACAGCAACCGCGTAACACCGTAACATCGCAGCGTCCCATCGGTTGTCGGTAAATCGACACCGCATCAAAGAAATGTTCGCGGCGATGTTGCACTTGATTTTTTTAGTCTGGACGTGCTTGCGAACCCGGTGCCGTTGTTTTGGTTTTGCCCTTTTGTATTTCCACTATTTCCAGTCAAATTCAGTTGCTATTTTGATTTCGATAGAAATGGAGTGGACGGAAGACAGTGTGCTTGAGTTTATCGAAATTTATAGAGGGAAGGAAATTTTATGGAATAACAAACATCCCAGATATTTTAATAAAATTCAGAAAAATGATGCGTGGGAAGATGTCGCAAGAAGTGTAGGTGCTACGATTGACGAGTGCAAGAAGAAAATTAGTGCGTTGCAGTCAGCGCTGAGGCGGGAAAAGTCAAAAATTAAAAAAAGCATGGGCACCGGAACAGGTAAAGATTTATTAATTAATTAAATTTTTTTGACACTTCTAACAGCCAATTTTTTTAACAACTTTCTCAAGCTTGTTGCCTTCAACAAGCTTTCGAAACCTGTTAAAAAAATGTTTTCGAACAATTATCAATGTCCTTGGGTTGTTACTACTGGTATAGTTTTTCCAAAGTCAATTGGAACAAGGTAAACATAAATCATACTGGTGGCCGGCTGACTAGTGGCAGTGGCGGCAGTGCATTTCTTATGGAACTTTCCAGTGACCATCAGTCAGCCACCAGTTGGTACCTTGTTCCAATTGACTTTTGTAATAGTATAATATGAATTGATTAATATACTATTATTTCAATTGTAGGGCGTTCCGATGTGTATGAAAGTTCTTGGTTCGCATTCAAGAGCTTGCTATTCCTGTGGGACAAAAACAAAGTACGCAATACTCAAAGCTCTGTAAGTGTTTATTTATTTATTTATTTATTTTTTTCAATATTATTTAAGTATATTTATCTTGCCACAAAATCCGCCCTTCATTTTGAAAGAAATCAGCCAATTCTTCTCGAATTGCTTTAGCCTGTATGGATGGTTTTCTGGGAATATTTCTGAGAGGAAGTAGCGAAGTAGTTGGTTCATTACTTGAAGCTCTCGCTCCATCGACAAGTTTTCCCTCTACTTCCGTATCGAATGTTCCGTTTGGTGTATACAAGTGACAGGAGGAGGAACTTTTCCTTAAGAAATTATGTAAGTGAGCTATTGCCATTACAATGAGCTCAGCCTTTTCAGGACTTAGCAGCATGGGTTTCCGGAGTGCTCTAAATACTGCTGAAGCAATACCAAATACATTCTCTACGACTCTTCGCGCGCGAGATAATCTATAATTATAAACCCTTTGTAATGATCCTTTGGGGTGAATTCCCGAAAACGGTTTCATTAATGTATCAGTGAGAGCAAACGCCTCATCTCCAATGAAAAAATAGGGAATTTCGCGTTGTCTACCATCCAAAGCTTCAGCTAGTGGCAATCTTAACTCATTTTTTTCTAGTTTTTTGAACAGGGAACAATTTTTGAAAATGCCACCATCAGAAATTCTTCCTTGGCCTCCAGCATCAACATACAAAAAGTTGTAATGAGCATCTACTACTGCAAAAAGAACTATGCTGAATGTCGATTTGTAGTTAAAAAAATCGCTTCCTGTATTAATAGGTGCTTGCAAAACGACGTGTTTTCCATCGATTGCCCCTAGGCAGTGCGGAAAGTTCCAAATATCGTTGTATTGTTTTGCTACTTGTAACCACCCCTCTGATGTTGTTGGTATCTGTAAAAAATATCGTTTTCAGAAACTTCAAAGAATAATGATTCTACTAACTAAAAAACCTTGAATTTATGACCTGATCTACAAGACATTTCTTTCCCAACCCAGAAAACTATTTTGTCATATTATCGAAAAAATATCAACAGAACTTTTTATTTGGTTGCAGATTGATAAAGAAACAGACGAAAGTAATGATGTAGATGATGATACCGCTTTGCAAGATATGAATCCGGACTCTGAGGAGCCCCAGAAGACTAACGACATACAAGAGCCTGACGAGACTGAAGAGCATCATGAGATTCAGAAGCCTCACGGGACTCAGCAGTCTCACGAGACTCATGAGCTTCGCGTGACCCAGGAGCCCAACGAGTCTCAGCAGACTCCAAAGACTCGGATTAGAGTCAGTAACAAGGAAAGAAAACCCCCTCAGATGACTCATAGTATCCCGAACAAAAAACGTGCAGTTGAAAAATTGGATGCTGCTTTCGAAATTCTAACAAAGGCATCGAATAAGGAACCACCGCAGGATCCAAGCGAATGTCAAATATTTGGAAATCTTGTAGCCAAGAAACTTAGTAAATATTCGAACGTAGCACAAACGGCAGTACAAGAAGCCATCATGAATATTTTATTTGCGGCAGACAAGGGGTATTATAATCAATATCCCGCTCCAAGAGGTTATCAATCAAACAATTATTCCACAATCCAAAGCGAACTTGTACAACGTGATTCGGTTTACCAAGATACTCAGTTGATACAATCCCCATATTCACCCCGTCCCGCAGCTCATTGGGATTTTGCAACTGACGCATCATCCCAAGCGCCTCAGTTTTCACCGGTACCACTGCCACTAATATCTCCAGCATCAGCAAGTTCACAATGCTCGGGTATGACAAATTATTCCGCTTCTACCAACAATCCACCCCCATTTACCAGTGCAACATTACTAACTGATTTAAACTTGCCAGATAATTAAATGATATTCAAGAACAAAATTTTATAGAAAAATGTTTTATAATAAAGAATTTTGAGCAATAAATAAATCAACATACCTGTATATTCTCCTTCAACCCTTCTATGAGAGCTTCACACACTTCTGGTACTATAGCGCTTATCGATTGTTTCGAAATTTTGAACAGATATTGCAGACTCGTGAAGGAATCTCCAGTCGCCAGAAAACGCATTGTTACTGCCAATCTTTCCTGAACCGAAATAGCTTGTCTCCAATTAGTGTCTCTTCTTGATACTTTTGGACCGATTAGGTTAATCAAAAATTCAAAATCAGTTGGCGACATTCTGGTAAAGTTTTTGTATAGACCACTCACAGACTGGAAGTTTAGGTCTCTCAATAAATGACGACCACTGTACACAGTTCTACTGGTGTATAATTGAGTCTGCCACCAGCGTCTTGGTCTGCGTTTTCTCTTATGCACTAAATAGTGCATAACTATGTAAGCTGCAGCAGCAATGTCCATCTTGCTTGAACGTAGATACCAACTAACTAAAAACGTTGCTAAAAAGCTGGGACGCCTAAATGTTCCGCGCCGATGTTGCGCGGCGATGTTCTGTTGCACCATACTAAACCCACTTTCCTCATCGCAACGTAACAACGTCGCGCAACAGAACATGTCGCGTGCTTGATACGCGGTGAAGTTACGTTACGGCTTTCTGTTGCATGTCTGTACGCACCTTTAAGCTCGCGTGTGCGCGACTTAAGTTTCACGTTCACGTGTCGTTAGTCATTTTTGGAGCTCGGTGAAAGCTATAAAAAACTCCAAAAAATTATTTTTTGTTAAAATAATGAGTGGTTCTCGAAGGCTTAAATAGCTATTTATACAATAAGTTACGAAATGAGCGTCTTTCAGGCACGCGACGTGAAAATTGTCCAACGAGGCAAAGCCGAGTTGGACAACACGTCGAGTGACTAAAAGACATCGTTTCGTAACGTATTGTATACAAGATTTTTTCTACTGGCATTTTATAATAAAAAACACAATTTTATTTCATGTGAATAAGTCGATTACGCCCAAAATCTTTGTTACCTGCTTTTACTTGACACTTGACACTATTCATGCGATTTTTTTTTCAAGATTCGACATCAATAATTAAAATCCTAGAAAGTAGGTAACAACACAAAGTTCTGTTTTGAGTAACCCAAATGTTCAATTCAGTAATTCCATTTTCAATATTCATAATAAATGCAAAATAAAATTCAAATCTGTGTTTAGTGTGTTTTTTATTTCTGAATAATGGATGACACTTTTAGGCACTAGTGCTTAAAAATTACTTTTACGCACTCAAAAGTCACTTTTACGCATTCAAAAGTCACTTTTACGCACTGAGTGCTTAAAAATTACTTTTACGCACTCAGTGCTTAAAAGAATGTTGTTTTTAAACTAAAATGACAATCGAAAAGTTGCTATTATGAAAGGTCAGTAGAAAAATAAACTTTTTTGGGCGTGACACCCAAAAAAATCTTGTGCCTCCGGCGGCGCCTGAGGTGGGCTACCTTCTAGTGGTGTCCGGGTTTGAAGGGTTAGAATCCGGGGTTTTTGTAAAAATTGTCCTAGGTAACAAATTTCATAAATGGCAGCCCTACCTCCATCCTCCATCTTTATTTCCAATAAAAACTAAAACCTGGGTCAAAATCATATTGAAATGCAACGTTTAGACGCATATTCGGTGTAGGTATGATGAGACTGGTGTATTTTTTCCCTAATTAAACATTTACCCAAATTTTACGTTGGTCAAATTATTGGATTTTTAATTAAAGATAAGAGTGCTGATCAAGAAAGCTGCGATGTTGCTAACAAAAATATAATCTGTCTTGCAAACTGGTATGTCGTGAACAATGAATGTGAGTTAGAATCAAGTGAAGATCAGACAAATTTGAAAATGGAAAACTATAATTTAACAATGACTGAACCCAACTGGGAAGATGAAAAATACAAAATTGAACAATCGACCTTACAAAAAATAAAAGAACATTTTGCTGTCAAAGCTAAAAACCAACCAAGCAAACGTAAGCAATATTCTCAAAAAATTGAACATAAAAGCAAAGAATATAAACGTAAATTATGCAAACAGAAAAAAAAAAAAACACGTGATCTTTCAAGTGAAGAAGACAGTTTATCTGTTTATCCATTGCACGATAGCGAGTCAGACTATGACATTCAAGACATTTTAGGAGAAGAGGAAATGAAAGTGCAAGAGCAAAGAGGGAAAGAAATGTAGAAATTGATGAAATATATAAATCTGGATCATGGGTGCTTATAACCTACATTGGCAATAAGTCATTCAAGCGCTATGTTGGACAGACAATACAAATTACCAGCAAATACCTAGTTGTTAAATTTTTGAAGAGACAAAATAATGTTTTTTGGCCAGACAAAGAAGATATAGATTGTGAAGTTTCTCGAAGCAATGTATATATGGTTTTTCCTGAGCCGGAGTTCAATAAATGAGGTCATTTACAATTCCCAGTGGATTTCTAAAATTTAAAAGTTTATAAAAAAATACACTGATCAAAACGAAAAAGGAGCAACTTTAGAAATTAAATATAGGTAATTTCCGAGGGGCAAACCACTCCCCGCAATACATGTACATTTTATTAAAATTTCTCCGAAATCACAAGGAAATCCCGCAGTCTTCGTTAGACAGTCGCCAAAATAGCCCGAAATCCCGCATTCTTCTTCGCATTCGCAGAAATCACGATGGCAGTCCCGGAAATCATGTTCGCAGTCGCGGAAATCATGTTCGCAGTCGCAGAAATCTCGTGAATGCGGTCAAAGGGGCGTGTCTAAATTTCTTGTCGCAGCCTCTGAAATCGCTCGAAATCAATGTGGCAATCGCGCAATCTCTCGCAGTCTCAGAAATCGTTGGAAATCGCGGTGGTGGTGGTAATATTCTGGAATGTTTCAGCGCCTTTGAGGTTATCAGAAATTTAGAGAAACCGGTTTTTTAATCTATATTTTGTGTTCTATTAGAGTATTTTTGTAGTTAAATAGTTATTTTATTGGTAAGTACAAAAATCAATACATATTTTAATTTTCAATACCTAACTAAAATAAACTGAAATAAACAATAAATCAAATTAAAACAATATCCTATCTAGAGAATAGAACTGCTTCCTCACAACCGAGGTTACAACTATACATAACAAAAATAAAAAAATGTAGATAAATTAATAATCAAATAGGTTGTGAGTTTTTTTATTAGTAATTATTTGTTATTTAATAATTTAAAATCAAAATTTTATTTACTCTTTTATTCGGTAGTAACATGGAGAAGCAATTATTATTAATTCAAAAAATATTTATTTATAAAAAAGAGCGAGCGTACTATCTGCTAGTTCTCGGGACACTGATGTGTAAACAATGTAAACATCTCGTGAGCAGCACACAGACATAAAAAAAAAAGGAATTACGTAACCTCCTCTTAAAATTAACCTTGATCGTTGACATGAAAATCTAGGCCGCAAGCTCTGAAGTATAATAATAGCTGCGCACTAATCACTGGCGCATGCGTTATGGTGTCTCATCCGATTTCACAGTTTCCATCCGATTTCCTAAGTAAATAGGGCCGCGTCCCGCGATGGATGTTTACACATCAAAAAGAGTTTTTTTGGCTGTATCCTCACAACTACGTTTTGGTTTATTCCTTTTAGCAACTTCTAGTAGTAGATTAATTTTACCATTGCTTGATTGTAACTTTGGCCAATAATTTTTTTATTACCAACCTTACCTACCTATTATTTTTTCAACTATTAGTTTTTATTAGCTCAAAGATTTCAGCATTGATTTTTTTAAATTTTATTTGGATTCAAAACAGGGTCTATAATATAACCTCTGGTAACTTTTAGAAATGGCTGAAGCAGGAGCTGAACTGGTAGACACTATGACGCTGACGAGACTAAGAAAAGTTTTAAGTAAATTAAAACTAACTTTTGATATTCCGACATATCTAATAGATCTCCTTGAATATACGGGATTTGATAATATTACTGCCCTAGCTTTATTTGAAGAAGAAGATTATAAAAAACTCGAAGATTTTGCTAAAAACGATTTGGCTTTGTTATTCAATGATGAAGAGAAACTAAATTTTTTTGGTATATATTCAAGAAATATACCTATGTTCAAGATAGTTGAGGGACACAAAAAAATTCTCGCATTATTAATAAAAGCATGTAAATACAAACTTGAATCAGAAAAAAAACAGTCTCTGAATATTCCTCGAAAAAGATCCGCAATTGTGTCCAATAATTCAAATAAGAAGCGCAAAATTATAAAAGTAACTGATGCGTCAACAAGTAAAGAAATTATTTCTTCAGAAGATTTAAATTCATCAAGCGAATTATTGATAGATACGGACGAGGATACGATTCAAACTCAAAACATTATTGACCACGTTAAACACGTTGTCACCTCTTACCAAAAAAAGTTTCTAAATACTTTAAATAATGAGGAAGAAAAAAATGCGACTACTTTAGCTTTAGAAAAAATGAAAGTAGAAGTTAAAGATCATTGCGCATTAGTTCAATGCGTAAAATGCGAATTTGTTTCTAAAGCATATTGCAAGTTAGAAAATAATCGAAAAAAATGGGTGCTTTCTAATGTAAATCGACATTTCAAAACACATTTCAAAAAAAATTCCAAAGCAAAGCAGGTTCCTTTTCAGAACGCGCCTCCAAAACATAAAAAATTAGTCAATACATCTATAATTTCTTTTCTGAAAGGAAACGAAGATGCAAAGGAAATGCAAGATAATCCCTCAACTATACAAATAACAGATATAAACTCGGATATAAATGAATTAGAGCAGGAACTAGATTTTACGCAGGTTGTTACACAGCCTCTTAATAGTGACAGTCAGCATAATATAATGCAAAGAGTTCCCGAAGATGTTTTTGTTATAACTTTAAATACAGACCCGAGTACTCGCCCGAGTACAGACTCCGATACAGACCCTATGATTTCAGGCCAGAACAAAGATGGCATTTCCTCAGATAATCTCAATGGTGAAATCTTGGGTGAAATATCGGAAGAAAATTTTTGTGGGGGCAGAATTGCTATTGAGGAGGCCGGAAGCACGGTTAGCAATTCTGCAAAAAAGAGTGATGAGTTTGTTGTTGCTCCTCAAAAGAATAATCTTACGCCGAGTCTTACGCCAAGCAGAAGAGACAGATCTTTCACGAAAAGGCAACTAAACTTGGATGAAAATCAACTTAAACTTACATTTTTCTTTGATTTCTGCGAAAAACTAAAGAAAAAAATATCTTCTGACGCTATCGTTAATGAACAATTTCAGTTAGCCTCAAATGTGGCAAATGAAACCATTCCAATAACTGGCATGGAAGCTATGAAAAAGAATAAATCGGAGAATGGGCCTTTAACTTTCTTCGAAATGTTAAAGAGAGCTGCACTTCGAAATACAAAAGGTAAAGATAGAGGAGGAAACAGATTTTCTGAGGAATTTAAAAAACTTTGTTTGTACGTTTTTATTACATCTGGTCGTTTAGCATATGAAACTCTTTATGCAAATATGGATAGTGGATTACCATCTATCACAACTTTAAACCGAACCTTAACTAAATTTGGAAAATGTGCTGAAGGCGACCTTAATATTGACCAGTTAAAACTATATCTAGAGAAAAGAGGTTATCCGCTGAAAGTGATTATATCTGAAGACCAAACGGCAATTGTTAAAAGGGTTCGTTATAATCCTACAACTAATCAACTTGTTGGATGTGTTCCCAAAATTTCTAAAATAAATGGTTTTCCATTAGAAAATCAATATAAAGTGAATTCAGTGAAAGATATAAAAAATTCAATAGAAAACACAGATTGTTCAAACAATGCTTACGTTTATATGGCCCAACCATTAGTGGATGGGGCCCCAGCCTTCTGCATATCAATTTTTGGTTCCGACAACCGTTTCACCTCAGAAGATGTCCTTCACAGATGGAAATATATCTCAGATGAAGCCAAAAAGAGAAATATAAGTATCGAGGGATTTTCATCAGATGGTGATACTAGATGTCTTAGGGCCATGAAGTTGCTAGGTGGCGTTCCATCTCTTTCAACTGTGGATAATCCATACTCGCCATATTTCCAGGTATGTTTTATAATGCGAAGAAACTTGCATTTTTAAGGAGGACAAGACCCAGATCTTTGGATGCTGTTGCGATTCCTGTGGTGAACCTATATGCAGGAGCTGTAGTGGCATAAAAACCGCAACAGAAGTTCGAGTACTACTACTACAAAATCGTACCTGCTTATTCTGGTGTCCCAACTGCAAAGAGGATAACCTCTCAAAAATTCAGTCCAGTAGTAGCCCATCCACTGCCCGAGCAGTCAATTCCAAAAAAGTGAGTGGTGATGATAGTGCAGTTAATGTTGAAAATACCTACCTTAGATTACTTAATCATGAAATGGAGGACAAGAATGTTATCCTAAAATCCAACAACCGATTACTCGAGCAAAGGATCAAGACGTTGGAGTCAGAAATTGTAGCTTCCAAAAATGCCACTACCGAAAAAAGTGTGTCTGAGTCTGTGCCCAGGCAACAGCTGAATATTGAGGGTCTTTTTCAGGAATACAAAGAAAGGGAGAACCGTAAGCAAAACTTTATTCTTTTTAACTGCCCCGAATCGACAACTAATGCAAAGGAAATTGCTGTCCAGGTGGTTAACCAATGCAGGTCAGATCAGGAGCCCCTGATTGGTGTTGCAGAAGTTCAAGCTTTTAGACTGGGGAGAGAGGTTGCTGGGAAAAATAGGCCTGTGAGAGTGATATGTAATTCGCATCAAATAGCCTATGAAATAATACGAAACTCTAGGAAAATAAAGAGCAATCCTAGCCTAGCTCACTTATCAATTAGCGATGATAAAACCCCACAGCAATTACAGGATTATCGCAAACTGAAGCAGGAGGTAGAAGAACGCACAAATGCTGGGGAAAGAAACTTGAAAATTGTTTACAAGAATGGGCAACCCAAGATTATTACCAATCATCATGATAATAATTTAAACTAATAGGTCTGTCTGACAGGATTATTACAGTTACATATCAAAATACTAGGGGCTTAAATGGTAAGACACATGATTTTTTCAAAGCTGTATCTCAATGTGATAGTCAGTTGGTGGTAGTTACGGAGACATGGTTACAGGATGGGGTTTATGACCACGAATTATTCAACGCTAACTACGTGGTCTACAGGAAAAACCGTAGCTTGGA